TGTTATACATGTAAATGCAATGCCCTTGACAAGTAGTTTCAGCGAATTGGTGTTGACAACCTTTTTGTATTCCGGATGTCTTTAAAGGCCATATTCTCCATTTCGGGGTCGAATTTCATGGCTGCTTGATGAATTGAACACGAAATTGTCCCAAAAAGGTTTAAAATTATTGATTCTTGAATGAGTGTGCCTGTGCCATTTCCTCTTATAAACAGATAAATTACTACCCATAGTTACCTTGTCAGCTATAAGATTGAAAAAGGTTATATTACTTACATAGTTACTGTGCCAGCTATAAGATTAAAGACTTTTCTATTAACCTGTTTTATTGAAATTCTTTATTACAATATTGTAATTCTAAAAGTTAGTAGTCCTTATGGAACAGGCCTTTAAAACCCTATTTCTAATGAAACAATATTAATAGTCCCTTTTGTAACATTATTCACTAATTATCTAACTCTAGAAATAATCAGTATCAAAAATTAAAGTTCTTTAATTAACCCATTTCAGTTGTCTCAAGATGTAATTTCTAAATTTATTAGTCCTTCTGGAAGGATGTTCTGTAGGAGGTTATTGGGGCCTACCTTCCTTAGTTAGACATATATTACGACAATAAGTCCCTATAGATACATTACTAACTTACAGCATAAGTTTATTGATTAAAAGCCTCAACAATTGAATGGTTCCAAACAGGTAATTAAAAACTTATACGTTATTAGGATATTGTTGACCATATTTCGTATATTAGTAATATATTACCAAAAATAAGTCCCTGTAGTTAGATTATTTACTTACATCATAAGTTCAGTCTTAACTTAAAACCATTCAATTGGAAATTCATGGTTCCCAAGTTGTAATTTAAAAACTAATGGTAATTATTTAGATGTTGTGGGCCCACCTCGCATAGATATATTACGACAGACAATCCCTGTAGATATATTTCTTACTTACAGCATAAGAATAATGATTAAAGTCCTCAACATTAAACCATTTAAATTGAATTTCATGATTCCAAAGATATATCTAAAAAGTATTAGTTATTAAGACGTGGGCACTACGTCGTATCGACGAAATATACAAGTCCCCATAGGTACATAACTTACTTACAACATAAGTTTATTGATCACTCTCCATAGCTAACGAGATAGTAATAATCCACAAAGTTCCATTACTAACTGGCAATTTAATGTTTCAAGATCTAAATATTCTTTTCATTTGTAATTTATGATCCCAAAGAAGTAATTGTAAGAATGAAATAAGCTTGAAAGACTGTATTTAAATAGTCATTAAGTCCCACTGTTCCATCGTAAACTGATAACTCTAGCAATTTCAAAATTAATGTCATTTTATACGTTAAAATCTCAAACGGACTTCGAAAAGAAAAACTCTAGCAAAAAAAAAACGAGCAACGTCATTATCCGAGAACAGCGCAAAAAGGCTACACCTTTTATTACCGACTAACGTGTATAGCCTATAGTACACCGCGTCAATACGAAGGGGTATCTTTACCAACAGGATCAACCCTGGAGCTTCATTAACGTCTATCCCCAAGAGCTAATTTAAATGTTTGCAGTCTGCATAAGTGATGTTTAATACCGAATATCTTTCCGTATGTAATATGTAATTAAAGGGGGATCTAGATCGTTTAAACTGAGGCAAGACTATATCAATAGGTATTTCAGTGTCTCCTGTACCCCTATACCATCATATTATTATAGTTTGTGCAGTCTTATTTCAATGCTGGTTAATGAGATCTTCGTCTACTTGCATTCCATTAGTCTTTTTATTATAATGATGAAATGTTTCGGAGTCCCAAGATAGTCTAGTAATGTACGTAGTTTAAAAGAAAGGATGTAAAGAGAATGCGTAACGAGAAAATCAAAGAGATGAATAAACGCTGTATTATCTCCCTTTGCTGTTTCAAACCTAATTTTTAAGTCTAAATAGGTTAGCAGTGTCATTCTTTCTTATATTCTTATATTATATGCTATAAGATTAAAGCTTACTTCAGTAATCGGGTATATATGTCACTGCTATCAAACAATCGAGACATCTTCTATCAAGCCATATTTCATGATAAATGGGGCAACGAAAATCACTCTGCTGAAGAATATAGATATATGCAATTTTCATAACATAAGCAAAATATGAGCACTCTGTATTGCGAAGTAGACTGGGACCTTTTCTAACAAAAATATACATTGGTGTAAGCTTTGAAGTTAATGTAAAATGTGACGTTCTAGCTGTTAATGTGGTTGAAAGTTAATATTCAGATATACTATTTTATATATTTTTGAAGGGATAAGGCGATTTTCGTACATTTCTAGTACTTCTGAGGACTATATTCAAGATTCAAATTAAAACCCCCCATACTCAAAATGGTACATCTGTCCTTTAAGGTTAAAATGGAATGTCGCTGCAGGCTATAGGCTTCTCCTAACAAAGAATTAAAAACCAACAACATAGACCTATAGTCAACACAGGTTTAAAAATGCCGATGCTCATACATCTATTTATTGTGTATGGAGATTTATGATACAAAATGTCAGAAGATATGATATATACTATATATATATAGTTATAAAATCAATAGTGATTAAGAAGCGAGGAAGGATAAAGTAAGGCCAGGAAATGATGTTGAGCTAGTATATTGTTAAATTGTCACCTTCATTATTTGATAACCAAGATGGCTTATTGATCTTTTAAATAAATTAGGTCGACATAGTCAAGATATTCTATCAACTTGATTAATATTTTGATCATCAGTTTTCATTTATTTTTCATCATCATGATTTTGACCATTGTAGTAGTGGCGGGTGTCGCCTAAAAAGCAGACCATACTTACCTTACTCTTTTCGGAACACCTGATGGTACTTCCTTTACTCCCGATGTTGCCATTCTTTGGACGACATTTTTTGATTGACAACATTGTCTTGCTAGTACGGATTTATTTCATTCATCATAATCATCATTGGGACGCCATCATCATCCTCGTCCTCATCATCATCACCACCACGATGACTTCATCATCATCACGGTGACGTCCTCATCATCATCATCACGATGACGTCATCATCATCATCATCATCTTGACGGTGACATCATCACGGTGACGTCATCATCATCATCATCATCTTGACGGTGACATCATCACGGTGACGTTATCATCATCATCATCATCTTGATTTGATATGTTAATTATAAGAAACATTTATGTGTTATATTTTATTGTTTATTTAGTTGTTCGTGAACTGATGTTGGGGACAAAAATGCAAAAGGGGTGATGTCATGTTGACAAATTCCAATATAAATCATGTGATGTATCTTCACTATTAATTTAGTGTGGTTTAGAACTGATTTAAGACAGGTTTTTGGCGTTTTCACTAACACATAAACAGCGCTTTTTATTTTAGAGTTGTATTGTTAATTTTGGTTATATTAATTAAGAAAATTCTATTTTAGTTTTTGCACGTAATTTTATTTTAATTACATTATTAAACAGTCTGGGATTTGAATAAAATAGAAACATTAAAGGAAAAGTAATGATTAAGAGAAAAAATTTAAAAAATGTTTCTGTAAAAAATCGCCATTAATCGATATCATGTATTATGTAGCTAACAATTGGCTTAGTGAGTGAGACATTGTTAAAATAAACACACTTACAACTCGGGTCCATTAAAATCATGTTTATTAGCATGTTTCAAGCCATTATTCATTGTTAACTTAAGTCCAACTCAGAAATAAAATTTTATTTTTCCTGTAAAACAAGAATCGTTTAAGGAATAGAAAAAATACTACACTGCATTGCGAATTGAAGTTTTACAGTCCATCAAAAGCCAAGAAATACTGGAACTGTACGAAAATCAAGCAATCTCCCTCAAATAGACCTCACACTTCCTATTTATATACATTGCTAAGGAAAAGACGAGTCGTCATTTTAACTTTTAAACGAGGATAATTCTGAACATATTGATTTGAAGGCTCGGATTTTGACAATGAGCTGTGAACAATTTTACTGATTAGCTTAGCTACAAGTAGCTCAAGAGAAATTACATGTAAATTAGATAAACATTTAAATAGCCACCAGAAAGACAAATTAAACGTTAGATTTAAATGTAAATAGGTTATAATCTGGTTATAGTGATATGATTTTCAGTTTAGATTTTAGCAATCATGGGAGCGGTTTAAGTTCTATTTTGCTATACACAAAGGTGTACAATGTAAATGGGAGGTTAGATTAGTTGGAACTATAGAGGGAAGGGATGTGCCAATTGTCTTTAGACAAACACACACAGACACAAAAAATAAACTGATATATATGGCACATTTTTCATCAATAAAGTCGATGCAATTTTCGCTTCACCTCATGAATGGAATAAACTGCCCCATTCCCTTCAAACAAAGTTGCTCTATCCCAATCTTCAAAAATAATCTAAAAACATACTATTTTAATAAGGCTTTTAATCAGTGATTTAACTTTTAACCTTTGCTTTAATTTGAAAATGTACGCCACTGAGCAGTTTTACTGAATGTACCTGCTATACAAGACGGATTATTATTATTATAATTCAATTAAGTGTTGTTTGTTGTAGCTCGTGCTGAGGCTAAATGGTCAGTAATTATATGATGAGAAAACTACCCTCACTCTATACTTTTACAGAGTAAAACGTGCCATAAAAAATTGTTATACCACAATAAAGTACATCCCATTCGCTTATACGACAAGATCAAATGAATTTTTCGATATCACGTTTTTAGATTGTACAGTGTACGCGGTGTCTTCATGAGAAATTGTACACAAGTTATATTCTATAAAAAAATACCGAGAAAATATTGCGCAGATGCCGCTAGCATAAGGCCATCAGTCCATGTTACCATATCTACTTTGTAAACGAGCTGTCTATAACATCTGATTTTGACTCTTGATTGACGAATATAATTCGCATATTGATTATTTCTTCTAACAACAAAAATATAATGTATTCACATTCTATGCATTTCAGGACCTGGGTCATTTACATGTGATGTTGACCTATGAACCCCGAGGTGAAAGGTTAACCGTGATGGTAGTGGAGGCTACTGGTTTACCCCAACATAATATTACCGGACCCCCAGGTAATTTATATTCTATTATTATATTCCGGTCTTTTAAAGGTAAAAAAAAAGTCCACAAAATAACAATTTGGCAATACATTGATAGCATCTAATGAACTTATCTTATGAGAAAGTATATTAATCAAAAATGAGAAAGTATTTCATTCTGAAAATGGTATCAGGTGTCTAGAAGCGAAAGCATACCGTATGGCTCTACTAATATTCAATGAATTTTTGCCGACGAGATCATTTATGGCATATTATTGTAAATCGAATTCATCATTCTGGTAAATAAAGATGTATTATCTATATCTTTATAAGGGTATATCAATGCGTGGGTATCGTTGCATGACGTTTCTCATCTTTAGTGACACCATCAGGAGTAGACAAGCAACCTCGCTTCATTTCCCTCTTGTTATATTTTAGATCCTTATGTTCGAGTGGAAGTTATCCAGACAGGACGTGGTGTGGACAGAAAACAAACCAGAACACGAAAAAACACGACTCATCCAGTGTTTAAAGAGACATTCACTTTTACAATTTCCACACATCCAGAGGATTTAAGATACACCACTTTAAAACTAACTGTTTTTGATCACGATAGGATAAGGAATGATGACGTCATTGGTGAAGTGCGTATCGGATACGGAGCTACGGAGGAAAGTGGATCGGAACATTGGACTCGTGTCACTAGAGATCTAGAGCGCGAGACCAGTCGATGGCATTATATCATTGATCCGACCAACACTGTTTAATCAGTTTCTACAATGGTATTTTGACGTCTTTCTTCTTAAGATATTAAATTGGATGACATTTTGGTCAAACTATAATAATTGTGCACTTCCTCGTATACAACTATTCTTAAAATCACGTTTAGTGAACATTTACTCGAAGAAGATATTCTGTATTCTAACCAATGACATCCAATCGAAGAGATTCAGAGCAATTCCTGAAAGCGTTTGTTTGACCTCAAGGAGTTCAAAACCCCAACATCTTGCATGCCAGTACATGTATCTGACTCACGAGCCCATGTTCGCCTCTGATTCTAAGATTTGACATAATTTGTGATAAAGTTGCTATCTTCATCACCACCTGATTGGTTTATATTTAATGCATTTACACAGAACACGCGTTTGTTTGGAACTCAGTGTCGTACGTTGTCACACTGCAAATTCCAGCGATTAAAAGAATCGGAAATAGTGCAGAATTTCTAGTTTTTATCAGATAGCATGTTAACAATAGAGTATGCTGTGCACATATTTAATTTGTGAAATATCCCATAGAAGTGGACTTTTTCCATTTATACCACTATAAGGTATATAATTATATAATACACTTGGTGGTCAGATTTTGCCTTTAAATTAGATTTTCTTACTTTACATGTAAATAATAAACAATTATGTTAACATTTAAACTGTAGTTATGTTTAATGAAACGATCTGAAATCGCCTCATAATGCAGACAACGGATACTACTTGACAAGATCCCCATTTGTCAAACGTTAGAAGTAGCTCGGCCTGAAATAGGTGTCTGAATATCGCTTGTCAAAGACAAAGATTGATATAGTCCAGTTGTATGAATGTCACTTGTCAAATTTCAGTAAAGACAGTCTGGAATAGTCCTGGAATGGAATCTGATCTATTTGTCGTAGCGGAATGCATAACGGCAGAGACAAGACTTTGTTCTGTTAAATTTCGATCATTCAAGAATCCATACTAAGACCCCCTGGTTAGCTATTGACCTTCCATAGCCACTAGACTCAGAAATGACAAATGAAAATACAATCCAGCTAATAATAATATTTGATGCGATAATGAAACATTATGAGTCTAGTAATACTTAGACAGACTAATAAAGGTATAATAGTCTTATATCGTATTATATTTTATACCTATTTCAATTTATCATAATACTTATACTTCACTCACGAGTTTCTATCCAGCCTTCGGAAGAAATATTTAATCAGGAATCAATTTAAGCGATTCAAAGTGACTCCAATATTTCCTCTGATTAGCCAAAATTAAATTTATCACGACTATCTGCAAATCAAATCAAATTGTATATTCGAAGGTTTTACTAGTATATTTTAAATTGTTACATAAGTTTTAAGAAATTGAACCTGATTAGCCAAAACTAAAATTTGGTGTGATAAATTGCTAATGAAATTTTTCAATCCAAATTGAATCCTCAATTCAATGCACCATTTCTCAATTTGCGCGCCACTTAACGTTTTTCAACCTTAGGCCAATAAGAAAAAATACATACAATTGCTTATCATTTATATTCTAATGGAATTCTAAATTTGTAGTGATGGTTTGCTAGAAAGAGAGATATAGACAATCATCGGTCATGGTTGTGTGGATACATTATTATCGCCCGTCATAAAAAAAACTATTATATAATTAATTCACAGTACAAAATAACTTCAGCAGACCCAATTGATCAAAATATACTCCACATTCCATCTATGTCACTTATATATTATAGAAAGTGAAACGGAAACTTTGAAAAATTCTAGTCACAAATTGATCGACACTATAATCGTCATCTATCAAGTCTGCATGACCCAGTCGGCACGACATTTAAACATGTGCGACTTTGAAGCCGACTTGAATAAGGTTTTGCCGATAAGATAACTTCCGATTTGTCAAACAAATTTCTTTAAAGTGTCAAGAGACGGGATGTGTGAAGACAGTTGATGGGAGTAAAAGATCACTTACCAAATATGTATTCGATGTACGGCGTCTGAAATAAATCTTATAGAGACAATCCACTTGTTTGTCAAATGTTTTCATAATCAAAAACGTTGTAAATTATACCTGAAAATATTTTTAAAGTATGCTATTTATATCTATGTATCTTCTTGATCAAACTGAATTCGTTTTAAAACGGAGAGTACCAATGGTTAATTAAGCAGTTTGACCTAGTTTTGGTGTTTGGCTTTATAAAGGCCCGCTATATTTAGCTGAAATCTTTAGAATACATAATATTTCTCTACAATTAGGTGTGTATTTCACTCAAATCCAAACATAAGTTTTCTAACAGCTTCCAAAAAGCAAAACGAACATACAAATCTTATGCAATGTTTTTAAATATATTTGGAGTTTAAAGATTAACGGTTGGATTTTTTTCGTTTCAATTTTCAGATACGTTAAAGGGCACATTTCTCTACATTTTGGTGTTTATATTTCACAAATTTTAGCAAAAAGGTTTTTCAACCTACAAAAAGCGGAAGTCCCTTTAAAAATGATGAGTTTATTCTTGAGTACATATCATATATAATCATATATAATGCATGGTTACATCACAAAAATTATCAAAACAACTTTATAAGCAGTGTGGACTCTTACAAAGGGATTCCGAGTTGGTTGACACACCCATTTGAAGAGTTGTATCATGTGCAATGGGAAGATGAACACGTCGTTCCTTATGTGCCATTGAGATTGTTATAAATTAATATTGGACTCAGAGAATATTGCTAATTAGTTTAAAAATGGCCTCGGGGACACTCTTTTCTACTGGTAGAGTTGTCGACCTATTGACGAGGAATAATATACAGTGTATATGTAACGGTATATATCAGTTTTCTACTCGGAATATCAATCAAAACCTTATAAACGCCGGAGGCAACCTGTTGATTCCTCTAGTATTATTAATCCTTATCTAGTCCTTTATGAATTATGCATTATTATTCTGAGTTCTCGTGGCGAAATTAATCATTTTTCATCCAATACTTCCGTTCTAATATATCAATATATCAGCAATAATATAACTGGAAGATAGAAATAAAAGGAATCGGGTTTCAACCTTAATGTATATTAATACTGTGAAAGGCAGCATGTCGACTAATTAAGTAGGCTTTAATGGTGTTTTTGTGTGAAAGTTGCTCGTCAAATCGAAACTCGAAGCGGCAGTGGTAATATTGTATATTTGTTAACGAAGTTGCTGATAACAAAAGAAGTTTTAGTATCAAGTCGTAACTATTAAACCCTTTATTTGCAGATATGATCAAAGATCAAGGACATTTGATCATATGATCAAGTCATCCACAGGTTGAGTCAGCAAATTCTTAATTGTAATTGAAAGTCATCCACTCATATGTTCGACGATTACCTGAGGCCAGGAATACTATACCTACTCTCGAGATCAAAAACATTGTATAGCAATATGATATAAACATAAGTGTATCATTGGTTGGGCTGCCAAAAGTTGAAAGGGGTTTTGGGGGTGGGGCAAAGGGCGGCTGTCCAAGCCTATTCTCTGGTTAGTGTATTGACGTAATGATTGGTAGTTTATGATCTCGACGGTTTTTAAAGCTCAATTTTTGCAACTTTGGCAAGCTAGTGTGTTTCAGTCCTGTCGTATCGTCACTGTTATTTTCCTGATTTTAACTCTCGGGGTATGTAATAATGCATTTTGACCCCCACAATTCAACTCTCTGGTTTTCATTTGAACCACATTTATACCGGCTGTCCCTCTCGTTCTCCTAAAAGCAAGCCTATCTGGTGGACATTGACAAACACTGCACCTCGAGAGACAAGAACAGAGAAAACAAGTATCTGTTTCTGATTAAGACAACGATAAAACTATTGATTTGTTTTTATAGCCTTCATCTTCTCATTAAGTTGAGGAATATACAGAGAGATTTTCTCTCACCTTTGAATCAGCTGAAATCATACGCTTGATCGTGAAGTATATCAGTATATTAAATTTTAATACCACACGGTTAATAAGTGCAAGGGAACGGAATAAAATTCAAAGGAACGGAATGAGATGTAATGGATTTCAAGGAAGGGAGGATTTGCCTTGGAAATATACCGGCCCAGAGAAAATTTAATATGACTGGTTAATAAGAACAATGGTATGGGATGAAAGGTAATGGATATGAGGGAAAAGGAGGGTTTGACTTCTGCAATTAGTGTCTAGAGTGTCAGTTCTTTAGTAATTCCCTTCGATTGTCTGCATGGCATAACTTTATAACTGGGTGTGTATAAAACTTCGATAGGGGCTGGTTGAAACCCCGGAAAAAAATACAGGTGAGCATATATTAAAAAGGAAATTCAAGGTGGAGGGGACTCATTCATCTGATTACAGATATCCCAAAACAGACGAGAATGGAACAAGAGAAAAATAGTGTCCTTGTTGTTGTTGTTATCCATATTTCTTAACCAAATATTCCCCCAAATCCACTAGTTTCCCTCCGCTGTATAAAATTTAACTATTAACCACATTAGTAATGTCCGTTTTCACACCATATTGTTTTCCATTTGGTTGGTCGGTTGATGCAATTTGTCTGTTGCGATCGTAGACCAACCGATAAGGCCGATGTTGGACCAGGATTTAAACACTAACAAACATAGTTGGATATTAACACAGAAAGTATAACACAAGCTTATTATCGCTCCAATTTCTCGCTTGTCAAATATAACCGATCTGAATAGAGATATTATTATTGTCTTAACTACTAAGACTAACATGGCAATTGGGCAAAACATACCTACTCATATTGAAAACGTCATTACTTTGAATTAGAATAAAATATTAAGCGATAATGGAAACACTGTATGAGGTCGAAGTGAAGTGGATTACAATCTGACAATCTCATGGTTTACAGACTTGCTTATCTAATCCTACTTCACACCGTCTGGATATCAAGGTATTCAATTAGTGTCAAGTGATTGGTGTAAATGTGTAAATTGATATTTAAGACTGGTAGTTAATGAGTGCTATAAATCGTAATAACTCATGTTAACAC